ATTTGACACGTTTGGGGGATCAAAAAGTATATTATTTCCTTGAAACGGATTACTTAAAAATCTTGTTGAATTTGAAATTTCTCAATTTTTTCAAAAATCAACATGATTATCAGATAATATTACAAATATGTAGCTAGAAATACTTCTCGCCTTTTTCAAAAATTCACATTGAATCACAAAACACGATACCCTTACTAGTAAGGGAGCCCATTTTCAGAATGAAAAATTTGTGGATTTCAAAATTTCACGATATTTTTCGAAAATTGGCAGATTTACGTGAACTTACAGAATCGATCAAGGGATCGATTCTGGGTGTTTTTTCGCTCTCACAAAATTCCCAGAAGCGATCTCGGGATCGCTTCTGTAGGTTCACGGAAATATATCTCACGTTATTATTTTTGCTGTTGTTTTTTTTTCACTTTTCTTCAATAAATTTTTTCTGTTTTGTTGACCTGAATTTCTTATGAAAAAAACATTATTCACCTTAAAAAAAGTGAGGCATCGTATCCAAGAACTTTCTGTGAAAATCTCTCCGCCAGACAAGAAAAAGTTACGAATTACCTAAAGTTAGTTTTTTCTGTATAAAGTATACATATTTTACTAATTTGCAACGAATTTTGAGACAGAGTTAGAAATTTTCAAATTTTCATCTTCTTATATTATGAAAATACTTAAATTGTTTGGGGAAATAATTTAATTTCTAGCTGTTTTTTATTCAGAAGTCTTCACCCTACCGGAGTGATTCTCGAAGTTTCTCTATCTGTATCATTCCATCCTGAATTCACCACAGTCGATGATCGAATCTTCAACATGCAATGTTTCCATCAGAAGAAATCAAATGGATCCTCAAATTCTCTAGCCATCGGATCCCCTCAACCTCCACCACCAGACACAAAAGGGCCAAGTTGTTCGTATGAAGTTCTCGCCAGTCCAGGAGGGTTGCCAGCCGGACGATTGGCTTTGGGCCAAGAAGTGTATCATTCGTGGCAGTGTCAGAATGTTTATGTAAGTAGTTTCTGAAATTATGTCAATTGAAGTGGACAACGAGGATCCCCCAAATTAAGACGAATGAGCCCTCGCCCCTTGTAGCTTTATTCTTAAAACCTGTAATAGAAGGGCCTCCTAACTTTCAACTTCGAGCCAATTTATCTCGGTTCCTGTCAAAGATATCAAATAGTTTTCACCTAATGAATTGTTTGTCATAGTATCAAAAATCTTTCATAAGTTGGCACGTTTTTGATAGCTTTACGGAAACAGAGATAAATTAGCTCAAACTTGCCAGTGCGGCTGTCCTTCTATTACAGGGCAATCATTTGTTCGTAACAAAACCCAGAATGAACCAATTAATTTTCAATTTCCCATAGTAGCCTAGTTGGGTGGGTGCCCAGAATCTCAAAAAAAAATTTCAAAATGAGGTATTTTTTATTTTGGGCGGCGATCGTCTTAGTTCATAGCCAACTCTACTTTTAATAAAAATTTTTAAGGAATCCTGTATCATGATCGAAAGTTGCCGATTGGTAGGAGGTGAAGAAACACACGATGTAATTGATTCATCAGGCTGTTCGAAGTACGAATCAATCATGCCACAACTGCAATATCACAATCGTACTCATGTGGGAGCATCGGTCAAAGTATTCGGTGTTTCTCATACTTCAATAGTCTACTTCGCATGCCAAGTACGCCTTCATCCACAGTTACCATCTGGAGAGTGTCCAAAACGAAAATGCAACGAAGCAAGAAAGAAGAGGTTTGTTTTTCAAAATCAATGTTCTTTTTTTTTTAAATGAAACTCTAAATTTTAGAGACGATGCGTCTTCTCAATTCCCTTCTATCGACGTCCGTAGTCAGAATTTGGAGATTTCTCAGTTGATAAATGTTACAACTCCACCTGTAGAACCTCCGAAGCCTACCGAGCCGGTAGTTCAACATACATGCCCAGATATCCACGTGGAATCATCTCCTGTGGAAGAAGCATCAGAATCCAAGTTTATAGAAGAGGAAAGAGTTTGCGCAGATTTGAGATCTGTGCTCGTAGTCAGTGTTCTTTTGGCAATGGTGAGTTATTCACTTACCTGGAAATTGTTTTAAAAATAGGTTTTTATTGAAATAAGATGCCATCTAGCGTTTCTGAAAGATTTTTAAATGAAAGTTATGATTTTAATTAACAACCACTGAATTACTTTTGTCAATTAACGAAGTCTCATTACAGGCAATTATATTGATAACTACCACGATAGCTGTTTTGTTCGTGCGACGTCAAAAATATGAAATAGCAAACATGTCGTAATCTGCTCATTTTTCCATCGATTTGCTCCATTTCTTCCATCACCCGATCTCATTTTTTCTTCACTTTTTTCCACTAACTGACCTTTTCTTTTTCTACGGATCCATTTCTTTTTTTTCCGGTGCGCCTTCGGCCATGTTTCTCACCCCATTGACTTATGTTCTTATCAGCCATCACAGGGTTTTGTTTGATGTTATTATTTATTTTCTTCTTGGTTCCAAACTGAATGAATTGTTTTCAATTTGAAGTTGTTGTATTACTGATATAAAACAAAATCTCTTTACTATAGAAGCATCAGAATTGGTTGAACAATAAAAAAGGATGTGCAGTGGGGAAAATGGAACAGATAAAAGACGAATAACTAATAAAACTAAGTAAGTTCAGATGTATAAGTGTATATGAGAAAGGGCAGGAGATACGGAATCCAGTATACAATTAACTAAAGAACCTATTTTGAAAACGAGATGGCGATAAGGAATAGTTGAGCGACTGTTGATGTAAAGGGTGTGAAGAGAAGATAATCAAAAGATTATAATGATCAGTTTTAATTCCATCTATCAACTGAAACATCAAGAAGAGCTGGATCTTGATATACCGACGGGAAGCTTCTCTGCTTTGCGACGAATAGCGATGCTTCGGTTTCGTACTGAAAGAAATTGATGTGTTTAAAACAATCTAGCGCGGGATAGAACAACCTCATTCGGATGAGTTCTGTCGTAGTCGGAAGTGAAAGTCGCACGAAGCCAGTAGATATAGACAAAAAGAAGAACAATGACCATGAACATTATGATGCATGTGACAAGCAGCCATTTGACGATTGAAGATTCTTCGCCTTCCTGAAAACCAGATTTCGAAGTTAGATTGAATAATGAACATCATCTGACCGGTCCCAATCCAAGAAAGTCTCTCTGCTCTTGTTTACAATAGGCTCTATTATAGTTTAATCCATCTCGCAGCATGCAGAAATCTTGCTCTCGGATGACAATAAGCTTATTGAAAAACGGCACAGAAGACTTATTCACTGTCGCTGCACATTTGAATCCATGTTCCAACGAAGAAGACATAAGAGATGATACCATTATTGTCGAGTTTTTACCATGAACAATGTCCAAATTGAAGAATGCACCTCCATTTGCTCTGGAACGCTTTTTGCCCGCTTGCCTTTGAAAACCACTTACCCCGCAAGAGTTTCGTTATAGTTTTCCGCAATTTTCACACCAGGTTCTCCTTCAAAAGCAGTGGGGACAAGAGCGTTCATTGGGATCTCGAACAATCCCACTTCGGCATCGATTTTTTCTTTGTAGTAAAACTTTCCAGAGTACTGATCTTCTTGCCAATCATAACGACTGCTTGATGATGATTGCGAATACTCTACACCTTGCGTTATGCTAAGACCCTCTGAAAGTAAATACTGATCAAATTCTAACGGTTTTGTGTTTTACTATTGTAAAGGCCTTTGATATAGTACTGATACATTTTAAAATTTGCAGATGATGATGATGTGAGAAGATACAGCATATGGTTCATCGAGTCAAAAAGAGTGGTAATCTGTAATGACTCTTGCATTTTTGAGTTTTGGCTGTCGTCTGCTTACGGATCGATCTGTCCCAAACACTTGGTATGATCTAGCTTCCGCTTTCTTAGCAAATTCTACGCCTCTCCGAAACTTCGACTGAAATACATCAGTAACCTGAAATATGACTTTTACAAAAAAAAACAAAGAAACATTGTTACTCACATTTAAAGCAAATGTTTGAATACTGATTTGTTGATGTTGAACTGAGCTCGATGGGGAATATTTTTGTGTCACAGTCATGAGCATTGGAGGAGAGCGAGAGAGATGATCACGAATGAGATGCACACCCAAGACTCGAGAATCGGAGGAGTGTTTAGAACGAGGTCTGTAAGTATCAACAGTGTATAATGCGAAAACCGAGACTACTTACTTATTTGTAGGTCTCGCCATGAACTGTGGACAACGACCAGATGGTACCGAAGTTTGAATAGACGTCAAAATATCTTGTTGGGAAATGAGCACATACTGATTGGTCTGTAGAATATCGTCAACAGATGGCACATGGGCGGAACAGGCAATCAGTAAAGTGAATACAGCAAGCAACGGCATTATCCGCATTTCTGAAAACTTACAGGGTTAATTAGAAGACCAGCAAAAAGGCAAAAATCCTGGGTTTTTTCTCTTTGAATAGGAAAAAAATCCAATGAACGACTTTCTTCTACACTTTCAATAACCTAATCATTCAAATAAATTGATAAATTGCTCTTTTTAATCGAACAGAAATCAAAGTCAATAACTCAAAATCAAAGGCGCAACAAAAATATTTTTGAGTGCGCTCTACCTGGAATACCGTACCCCGTACACCGCAGCGGTAATTCAAAATATGAACCGATAATATGCTTGCATAGCATAATATGAGACGAGAGAAAAAAATTAACTTCAACTAAAAAATAAAGATGTTTCACTATTTTCTCTGTTATTTTTGGTATTTTTGTTCTTATGATTTTTTACAGCATTTCTGTAATTTATTCCAATTTTCCGGTGATGCACTTCGATTAACTACACTCAGTTTTAGACATAATTGTTGGTTACATCGGCATATTTCATTATTAATCAACTTTTCAAAGTTGATATCCCTATTCAAACTTCCGCGTTCGTCCTCCGCAAGTGCGCTCCTTGCTGCCCACATGATCAACAGATTTTCACTAATTTCCAGCCTAGCGCTATTTATCAGAAACATTTTATTTAAAAAAAAAACCCAAAATTGAGTTAATAAAGTTTTATGGTCAGCTTCAGATGAATGGCATGGAGATTCCGGGATTGGGATACCCGGAGGTTCTCATAAAATTGAAGGAGGAGGAGAAACAAAAGGCACGTTTCTTAAATTGAACAAGAGAAAACGAGAAAATTCTTCAGAAGTCGTACAAGTTGGTCCTGGATTTTCGCGATGGAGCTCTCAGCATCATCGAAACTAACCGTCTGTGTGAAGAAGTACACCGAGAATTTAGAGATCTTTCAGGTCGGTACTTTATCACGGCTTTGTTAATAAAATGTTTTTTAGAAGCTGAAGTTGATTACCTTGGAACTGAAATTAACGATCATGCCTACGATGAAAATCTAGATATCCGTAAGAGTGATGAAAAATCGGCTTTTCTTAATTCTGCGATTTACAGACTGTGAGAAATGCAATAAATTTTATCGACCATTCTGTCGTCTACACCCATTATTCAAAATTCCTGATCGTGAGCCGAGGAAAGAAGAATTAAGTACAAAAGTCTACTCACAACTCACCCTACCTATTTTATTCCGCATCGAAGAATCAAAGATCCCCAACGCGGGCCTTGGTGTTATAGCTTCAGTGTTTATTCCCATTGGAATGGTATTTGGACCATACAAAGGTATCAAAGTTTACAAAAAGGACGAATTCAAGAAAGATGGATACGCTTGGCTTATCAAGAATGGAGATAAAAAGTTCTACATCGATGGATCGGATCCAAAGAGATCCAATTGGTTGAGATATATCAATAGTCCCAGACGTAAGGAAACAGTTTTCTAGTTCCCAGAATATCTGAAATATTTTAGACGAAGATGAGCAAAATATGATTGCGTTCCAAACAAATAGTCGAATTTACTATCGAGTGATCAAACCGATTAGAATAGACCAAGAACTTCTAGGTGAGTTTTTTTTTTTCAAAAAAACATGCATTTCTGTTTACACTTTCAACTGTTTCAGTGTGGTATGGCTCATCTTATGGCGGGGAATTTGTTGAATCCGAAGATGGAGGAAAATCAAAAAAGCCGGTCAAGAACCCATTCATTTGGTGATGATTTTTATATATAACACTTTCGTTTTATCTACTTTCATAGGAACATGAACATTTTTGTAATAATCGATTTTAACACCTTCTAACTTATTTTTTCAGTACTCCGCGTAACGGTCCTTGAAGATAATCCACTTACTCTTGTACTGCAACCCACTTATTTTCGTGTTCGACATCGAAATGTTCAACATTTTTTCCGTTTCAATTTTCACACTTATCCAGTTTTTATCAATGCTTTTTATCGTGTTAGCTGTTGAGCATATAAATTGTTTTTCGAGAAAGTTGACAAAATAGGGGAAATTTCATTCCATGCTGAAAAAGGGATACATATCATGAGGATTCTTTTTACGGAATACTGCTAATGGGACAATAAACTGTAACGCTACGATGGGAACGAGAAAAAAAACAATTCTAGCCGGCTGGTATTGAGATGTACAGGTGATGGAGAACGATTGGGGAAAAGAGCAAATTTCAGAAATGTTACGGAATGTTAAGAAGAAACAAAAGAACAGAAGGAGTAAGAAACATGTCATCAAAAAATGTGCAAGAGCGAGCTCATTTAACGGAATCCAAATCCACCGCGTCGTTGTGGAGGATCGGGATCACGGTTATTCAAGCCCAGTGCATGAGCAAGCTCTTCTCTTTCCGGTTGCCCAGGCTTCATGCGATTCGTTATTTCGTCCTCTTGGTCGTGATAGTCTGAAATTGTGTTAATTTTTCCCCACAACAAGGAAGAAAAACTTACTCGAGGAGACGTAACGGGGTTTCCTCTCGTTCTGCTTTCTTGAGTTTCCGTTGAACCGGTTGTTGTACTCACTGCCGAACCCTTTCTTCGGTTGCTGTGGTTTCCCCTCCGGACCCTTTGACGACGTTGGGTTGGAAGTGCCGGGTCTTGAAGTGTATTGGTTCTGCTGTTCGCGGTAGTTGTAATTTCGCACCGATTGAATGGTTTGCTGGAGCATTCTGCAAAACTCTGCGTTTGGAATTGGTATGAAAGTAAAGTTCAAGCTTCTACATGAATACGACAACTACTTTTTACCTGTCGTTTTCGGTATCATCATAATCAGAAGTTTTTGCACCGTGTGAACTGTACGGAGTTCTTCTATCGTCTAAGTAGAGTTTTTCCGGATCATACTGATGCCTCGATTGATCATTCCGAGGGAATCCCCGATCAAAATCGTTGGTTGATTGAATTTTACTGTGTTTGTGGACAAAATCCCGATCTCTGGGAACGAAAGTTTGCACGTCATCGACAGGTGGCCATATGTTTCCACGAAACGAGTCTCTTCGGTCACTTCTACTGTTTACACGAGAAGACGACGGTCTATCGTTCTCGAAATTCGGTCTGCGATTATTTCCACGGTTGCTGGTATAGCCTCCTCTCGCGTGCCGATACTCTGAAATACACCACAGTACGAAACACATTACGACACGAATCAGATGCTCTAACTATGCTGTTAAAAAAAATCACTAACCTCCGTTATTTATAAAAAACATTGCATTTTCAGCTGAAACATTTTCGATCGGCTGAGTTTGTTGCTTGTACAATTCGGATGGTTTCACTGGTTGAACACTCTCTTTTTCTGGAGACTTCCTCTCTACTACGACATCTTTTTGCTCTACGAATGCATAAACGACTTCAGTCTATAACGAAACAAGTTATGAAAAAGACACAAATAGAACGAAACCCACCTTTCTTTGATCCGTCAAAACGTCGTCCATCACTCTTTTGGCCAACAGTTTCTGTGAATCGAACTGCTTTTCGAGAGTGGAGTTCATGAGTTGTTGCAGCTTCATTGGAACTTGTTGGTAGAGACGGCAGAAGTGACCGCATTTAAGATAGATCATTGTCAGTTGAAGTATCAACGATTGTTCCCTTTCTTCTCTTTCAACCAATGCCTTACACTGTTCCGGTGTGAATCCTGGTGAGAAAATGAAAGATTCTGCGTCACGACGAATCTTCTCCACTTCGCTGACCTGAATTACACTTATTCATTGAAAATTTTCATTTAAGTTAATCTTATTTACCTCTTTTTCGATATGAGCCTTCGTGGTTTCGCAAAATATGTCCATTATCTGTTCTGAGACTGCATTCAATGATAGCAGCTCGTCTTTATTGAGAACGTTGACATCATCCTTTCTGATTCTGGCCGCACACAGTTGCTTCTCCCTTGCAATTCTTGCAGCCATGAAAAGAATGAGAAGATGTTCCACTTTTTTGAGACTCTTCAAATAGCTGGTGCAATAACTGTTGAGTGGTGCGAGCTCTCGGATAGGATCGAATGTGTTCAGTATTGCAGTGATCAGCGTGCCCATTTCAAGACCTCCGTTCCTCTTCGACATCTTTTTTCCATAGCTATCGACCAGAGCAAGAGCCATTTTCTCAACCACAGAACCCTCGAATTTTACACCGTAACCATGCTTAACCAAATCGACTGCGAGATCGACATCAAAAAGTCCCAGCTCGAAAATGGAACGCATGAAGCATTCTGGAACAGCACACGACTCTTCCGACTTTATTTGCTCGAATTCGTCGAGATGATGTTCCGGGATAGTTTTGTATATTCCGGATGGTACTTGTCTGCGAGGCTTTCCGAGAGCGTTCGAGAACCACGTGAACAGAGAATACTTCACCCACCAAGGTGCTTGGTTGAAGTTTTCCGATATTAGAAAGAAGCAGACATCTCTGTCGAAAACTGCTTTATCATTATCCATACGCCCTGCTATCGATTTGAGAACCTCTCTGGCACTTTCACAAACTTCGATGGATTGTCCGTCGTACTCTACCAGCAATTCAAACATCAGCTGCATGATTATTGGCGTCGGTAAGACGTTCTCTTCATTATTACTGAATGATGTACCAAACCGGTAGTTAGTGAGCATTCTGTTGTTGTTGTTGTTGGCGAGAAGGCGTTGCAACATTTTCACAAACACTTCCACTGATTTTGTTGGTTTACGGTAGTCTTTGAGAAGTTCATGCAGACAGAACAAAATCAATGAGAACGGATCAATCAACGACTTGTCCTCTAGTCTCTCCAATTGTCCTTCCTTTCGTTTACGATCCTTTGCTAACGAAATCGTCATCATTCCAGCATTTTCCCATTGTGCAGCAGATGTCCACGTGGTTCTACCAATCATGAAGATTCTGTGAAGAATAGTGATTAGGAGCTTGTCTTTCTTCTCCGGTTCTTCAAAAGGCAACGGGGTGATGTTCACACAACGATAAAAAAGTGTAGGGAAGCCACGGAAAATTCGACCGATGATAGGAATGTATCCTTTGTTATCCACACACATCGTAAGAAGTTGCTGGACGGCGTTGGCTGGTGACACTAGAAGATACCAGATAATCTGAAAGTCGAACATTAAATTTTAGAAGACTATTGCCAGAGTTAATTATGTAAGATGCGAACGCATAGTCCAGCATCTTCAATATTTTACTGCAAATTCAAAAACTCGAAGGCTTTTATCACTCCACTTTTAAACATTAAACAATCTTACCGGATCTTTAGTCTTTTCAAATAACTCCATATTATTGCTCAGCACATTGGAATCGAGTGGGAGTTGGTTGATAGCTTCTGTGAGGCCGGATTGAAAGTTTTCAATGAAGTTTTCCAGACAAGGCAAAACATCGGCGTCTTGCTTATACTTATCGTAGAGTTTTGTTGCAAAATCATTTCGTCGTTTGTCGACCATCATCAAGAAGACTTTTTTCAGCAAACCAGTGAATGCGTATTTTTCTTCTGGCTTCACAGTCTCATGATCTATTGCCATATCCCATACCGTTATGAATCTGAATGTTACTGGGTTATGTGTATAGTAATAGAATATGCACATACTGGTTAATGAGATTGTCACAATATATTCCTTCCAATCGAAACTTTGTCTTCGCATTTATCAACTCGCGCATCGTTTTGTAGTCCGGATTCTTGGCGCGGTAATTGCTGAGAACCTGGAATAAACCAGATTGTTCTCAGTTGTTTGAAATGTTTCTGTACACCACACATACAAAGCTGAAAATGTTTATTTTAAATGCTAAATATATAACTGAAAAATAAATAAAAGTTCTAAATACTGAGCATGGGCAGACAATGAGAATCACAATTCAAAATTCGCAACATAAATGTTGGCAGAAATGTAAGATAATCAGGTTGGGGGTAAACTCGCCAGTTATGGTACACGAATGGGTGTCAAATTTACTGATAGTTTCTCTTCTTGTTACGCTTTTTTCTTTTTTTAGGAGTTTCTACCTTCTCGGTTTTCGCCAAGAATTGTTTCTTCTTTCCTTCCTCTTCTGATTGTGCTTTCTCATGTGCAATTGACGAAACTACGCCATCTTCTCTGGCGAACATCGTTGGCTCTGGCTCTTCGACCGGAGGTGCCACTTCCTCTTTTTCATCCAGAAAAAACTCACGGAGTGCTGGCGGAAGTTCTTTCCAACGATGAAATTCTGAAAACGAAAACAACTTCTTCACAAAAAACTTCGGAATTTAAACCTTTGCATTTGTTGTATGTGTGCATAATTGCTTCTTTACTAGCATCCACGTGCTGCACGACATCACGAATTGTATAGGCTTCATTCACCTGCATTCCAAGCCACACTTCGTACATCAAGTGCATCCGCTTTCGAAGTTCAATGAAATGGTGATTTTCCATTCCGATGGATGTTGCTTTACCTGAGGTAGCAATGATTTCTTCGTTCAAATAAATTACAAGATGAAATATGTGATCGAGTATCTGGTTGATGAGTTCTGCATCTTCACTACCGCGTCGGATAACATCTGAACATCATAAAAACTGTCTTGACTAGTTTTGGCATTCCCGAACCTTTAACAGTGCGCATACCGAAGTTGTACCGGATGAGGTCTGCCGCAGAACTCTCCAGATCTACATGACCATTGAGAACAGCCACTGTGAAACGACCAAGCTGGAAAAGTAGTGACTTTTGTGAATGAATACATAAATATCAGCTTACATCTCGTACTGCACTTTCCTCGGGATTATTCATTGTGGGGCTATTGTTCTTCTGCAAATTGCCAAAAATTACTGATAACTTTTTATAGAAATTTTTAGGCCCTTGAGATATTTAGCGGAATGTAAACAACGCGGGGAACAGGAGAACGCAACATTTCGAAAGTACGACTGAGCGCCATTTCGCAATACATATTTACGGGAAAAGACCCCGCAAATTGAAAAACAAACGTTTTCCGGGAAAAGTGGGCGGAGCCTAAATTGCAAGACTGACACGGTTTTTCTCTTAGCAGTATTCAAATATATAAAACACTGTCGTGGGCAACTTGAAATTTACGCTCCGCGCGCCTTCGTCGGGAATCTGTAGGGTCTCCGAAATAATGTAATAAAAATATATTTCTGAAAGGCTCCTTTCCATAATAATTGAATTATGGAGAAAGAAGAACTTTTCTGGTCTTTGAACAAGTTTGGAATTGGAAAATTCATGCGCATCTGTGCTCAATCTTCATGGTACAATAAATAATCTATATTGATCAAACATTCGACGGAAAGAGGCGGTAGCTAAAACGTAGAAGGCAATAAAATTATGAAGAAAATACACAGTATTTATAGGTTAGACGCAGTGATCTACACTTGTGGGTTTCTGAAGTTCTGTCCGGCATAAACTGCATCGGCTCCGAGCTCCTCCTCGATACGAAGAAGTTGGTTGTACTTGGCCAAGCGCTCTGAGCGGCATGGAGCTCCGGTCTTGATTTGTCCTGTAGCGAGTCCAACGACGAGATCAGCAATGAAAGTATCTTCAGTTTCTCCGGATCTGTGCGAGACCATGACACCCCATCCATTGGCACGAGAAAGATTGGCAGCCTCAATTGATTCGGTGACGGATCCAATTTGGTTGACCTGAAATTTTATATTTTTGATTTAATGAATTATTTAACGAATTCAAGTGTTTACCTTGAGAAGAAGGCAATTGCAAGACTTCTTGTCGATAGCGGTTCTGATGCGCTTGGGGTTAGTGACTGTCAAATCGTCTCCGACGAGCTGAATGCTGGTAGCGGCATGGAGCTTGCCCCAGTTGTCCCAGTCATCTTGATCGAAAGCGTCTTCAATCGAAACAACTGGATACTCCTTGATGAAGGATTGGTAGAGTTCGGAGAGTTGCTCTCCTGACAACCACTTCGAGGAGTCAGAGGCTTCGTTTTTGAAGTCCAAGTCGTACTTTCCGTCCTTGAAAAATTCGGAAGCAGCAACATCCATTCCGATGGAGATCTTTCCGGTGTATCCGGCCTTGTCAATGGCGGTGTTAAGGAGGTCAAGTCCTTCCTTGTTGTCTTGAATGTTTGGAGCGAAACCTCCCTCATCTCCGACAGCGGTGGCATCGAGTCCATATCTCTTCTTGATTTCAGCCTTCAAGTGGTGGTAGACTTCGGATCCCATACGCATGGCTTCAGCAAAGCTGGAAGCTCCCACTGGAAGAATCATGAACTCTTGCATAGCGAGCTTGTTTCCAGCATGAGATCCTCCATTGATAACGTTGAAAGCTGGAACAGGAAGCACAACTTTTCCAGTTCCGGCAAGTTCGGCGATGTACTTGTAGAGTGGAAGTCCCTTGTGAACTGCTCCAGCTTTGGCAACAGCCAAAGAAACTCCGAGGATGGCGTTGGCTCCGAGATTGGCCTTGTTCTCAGTTCCATCAAGGGCAAGCATGAACTCATCGATGTCCTTTTGAGCAGTCACATCAAATCCTTTGGCGATGAGAGCTGGGGCGATTTTCTCGTTGATATTGCTCACAGCTTTGAGAACACCCTTTCCGAGGTGAACAGCCTTATCACCATCACGAAGCTCGAGAGCCTCATGGACTCCAGTGGAAGCGCCAGATGGCACGGCAGCGCGGAAGACTCCTGAAAAATTGCATCATTTTCTTCTTTCACAATTTTGGCAAATTCTATTCCCTCTGGTAACAAACTTCTTTACACCTAATAGAGTTCTCACCTTTCTCGGTGAAGAGATCAACCTCGACGGTTGGGTTTCCGCGGGAGTCGTAGATTTGGCGAGCGTGAATCTTGGTGATTGGCATCCTGAAAACAGATGAGATGATCGATACAAGAAAAAAAAATCTAGAAAAGGAGTAGTAAACAAAATAACTGAAAGATAAAATGTTTGGGGTTTAAATGGTCGGAGAAGTGCGAGAAGAAAGGCGGCGCCGTTGTCAGACGGCGCGACAAGACGAAAACGTTTGACGAGACATCGGCAGTAACACAAGACTCAGAGAAAATGTTGGTGTGTTGTTTGTGAGCGCGGACTGAGCGCTAGTTCAATAGAATCGCCGCGCCAGCCCTTTTTCGAGAGTAGAGAAGAATAGAGAATTTGTGGTAACCGAGTGAAGAGATTGAAACAAAGTCTACTCAGTTTTCCATTTAATTATATGAAGAACAAGAACTTTTTTATTATTGGGTTCACCAAGTTGTTGGGAAAAAGAAAGGAGCCACGACAGGAGCCGAGAAGAACCACCGAAAACAAGTGGAAGAGGAGAGGCGAAAAGAGCCAACTGCTGCTGGCAAAAAGAGACGCCTCGCAGCTGCCGTCCTTCAAGATACGTGACTTGCACTAACTTTCAGATTGAAGAGACATGGAGTGCTTCCCTCCCTCAATAGGGTAACCTTATCTTATGTTCATTGAACATTAAATGAAAAACAATTAATATGAAAACAAGACAGGAAAAAAAAATAACTTCTATAGAATGATCTAGTAAACCAAAGTACCTTAACATCACTTGGCACGGTCTCTCTTCCCCAAAAAAAATTAGAACTGCAAACTATTGTCGGATTAAAAAAAGTGACACCTGAAAATCTCGGAGATGGCGCTCGTGTCGATTTACGAGGGGGCGGAGCGAAAACGGATACTGTAGATAACAAATTTATTTATGTGAATTTAGTGGGATATTCTGAACAAAATTTTGATTTCTTGGTATAAAAATGATCGCTAGCATCTCTAGAATCTATTTTTCAGCAAAAAACTAAACTTAGACGCGAAAGTAGCTCGAACGAGCCGAAATCCTGAAATATTGCGCTTTTGCCGCACTTTTTCGTAGATCAAAAAAAGCAAAAGTTTTCAAATTCTCAGGTGTCACTTTTTTTAATTCGACAATAATATTCGATCTAACATGAAAAATCTTGGGAAAACATAGAAACGTTCATTGCTTGAAAGAATCCTCCAAGCAGAGACCCATTTCTATATTATGAACTCGCTGAGAGCATTCGCAGTACACTGCTGCAAGTAGGTGGTGCATTAAAAGTGTACACACAAATGTTTGAGCTGAATGTTCAAAAAAATGAGTGAGAACAAAGAAAAGTCAACAAAATTCGTCAAACTTTTGCACAGCAACAAAAATTTGATTACCGTGTATCCGACGAGAACATCTTGCAGATCGTTTTCGGAATTCGAGAAATCATAGGAGGCAAGTGACAAAAAGAAAAGAGAAAACACACCCTTGACCACCCGAGTGTCTGCTGCTTTCCAGCGGGCAGCCACCTCGAATGAGTGAAGTGAGCGAATGGGCGGCGGAGATGAACGGAACGAACATGGTATTTTCAACTCAAATGATTCGAATAGGATGAAAACTAGCGCCACGTTCGTTTGAAGGCGTTGTGAGACCAAACTTGTAATATTTGCGCGCATGTTCCTTTAAACACTACCGTATCACTTGATATCGTGGCGATGCTTCTTAACACATCAAACAATGTTCCCTTAAAGTATTACGGTAGATTTATTGAATAAATCAGAAGAAGAGGAAAGGTAATAAATAATGTTTCCTCATGAAAATAAAAAAATTTAGGTTATTACTGTTGTCTCTTTTCAATGCACGTTGCGGCCGAAAATTTACTCAAAATCGCATCGTCGGTCGAGCAGCGAAAATAACAAATTACTGCATGCGCCTGTAATACCGTACCTCGGACGCTCTTTATTTTGGGCCCATTTTTGGCTGTTTTTCTGTTTTTTAAGGGAAATAAATTAAAGATTGATAAGAATTAGACAAAATTGACAGAAACAAGCGAAAAAATAAAAAAAAAAGGAAAAAATTCGATAATTTTTGAGGTACTGTTTAAAGGCGCATGCATTCATTTGAAAAATACCGTAGTGTTCTCTTTGCGGGAGCGAAGCTCCGCCCGCCGTTGTTTTTTCTCGGCTGCAACGTGCATTGATAACAAAACTGATTTCTTTATACATTGAACAACCAAAGATTAATTGTAAAATTCCGAAATTTTATTCATCTAAGAAACCATAGTCGTATAACAAATCATGACAATAAAGTTAACAAAAACAATGATCTAATGTCGAAATCTAAGAGAAAATTTGATAATGCACGGTACGTCTTTACTGTTTGATTCTTGTGAACTGCTTGGTGGTATGATTGTATCGTTTATCAGTATATCTGTCCATCTGCTCGGCTACTTCTGGATCCCATGGCATGTTTTTGTCCACCCGAGAATAGTCGAACGTCTGAAAGTTATTATAAGGAAATTTATAAACAAAAATCCAGAAGCATACCTGATCCTCGTAATCAAACCACTCTTTCTTTGGTTGGAATTGTCGGAGTAGTCGTTTTTGGCGAAGAGAAATCACGTCTCCGCCACTTCCGGGGAACGCCGTTACACCTCCATGATGAACATGAGTGTCTTCTGGGTGGAACCGAACGGCTTGTTCCATAATCGATACATTTTTTGGTTTGTTCTCGTCTCGTGCATATCTGTAAAGAAAACTTACAGTTGAGAATGATATGGGTCACTTACTCAGTGTATTTGGTTACATTTTTCACAGGTTCCTCGTAGAACTTCACAATGTCTGACACTGTTTCCAAATGAAGAAGTCTCCCGTTTGTAGGCCAGTGTTTCGTGGATTTTCCGAGTCGATTGATTAACTCAAACTTTACGGAATTATCGCCATCAATGAATTTGTACTGTTCAATATTATCAGAAGAGACGCCTGCGTTTTGTAGACATTCGGTAGCAGTTTCCAAGATTTGGCTCTTGATTCCAGTGCTCGGGGCATAATTGTAGGAGTATTTCAAGAAACCTCGAGCTCGAATCGCGTCGGTATCGATCCGTTTGTCAACAAGAGCATCGTCAAAATCCACCACAGCATCAGCATTAGTTGGAACTTGGGAAGATTCTCGGGCACGAATACTGGGAAGAGTTTTACGAAGACTTTCTTGTTCTTCGACAGTCAGTTGCTTTACCGTCTCTTTTTCTGAATTTTTACCAAAAAGTCCCTTCAGCAAGTTTCCTTGTGATCTCACAAACCGAGGAACGGTTCTGTACATATTCTGAAAACGGAATTTTCATTTCTTTTTCTCGAGCGCATGATAATAAATACGGTATCAGACAAAAACTAGGTCACTTTTTCGTTGACTACTCAAAATAGCACTCCATTCATTAAACAAAAGAGAAAAAATCAACAAGCAAAAACACGCGGCATTCTCGAAATTTCAAACGGAATTTAGGGGGCAAATATAGAGAAAAGGGAAGGATGAAGCAACGGAAAATGTATCAAAATCCATCAATAATGAGAAAAAAATGAGAGAAAAGGGGAGGAACAACGAGATACGGTTGTGTTGAAGCACTCGATCAAAAGCTGAAATTAAGAAAAAGAAATAAAGATCTTGTGACAGGATTTCAAGCAATAGTTTAGCATGGACGGTTATCTGGAGCGCGAGCACGGGGAGCCGCCTTGATGATATCATCAACACGGAGGATTTGTTCAGTAGCTTCTGCGGCAGAAGAAACCATGCACAACTTGACATTGTAAGACTCAATGACTCCCAACTTGGTGACATCAGCAACTTCTCCTTTCTCGATATCTGGAATTCAAACATTGTTATTTTGAATCACTAAAGAATAAGTTTACCAATTCCGAAATTGTGCCGACCATTAGCGTGCTCTGCACGGAGTCTGGTGACAAGATCTGCTGAGTCAAGTCCAGCGTTATCGCAAATAATAGTTGGAAGTTGAGCGAGAGCTCTTCCGAAAGCTTCCACAGCGAGAGCCTCTTTACCAGCAACCTTTTGAGCTTCCATGGCGATAGCAGTGCTCATGAGGATCTCACTAGCTCCAGCTCCAGCCACAGTCTTCGACTCTTTAACGTGAGTGACAAGGACACAGAGAGCATCATGAAGGGATCTCTCCGACTCTTCAAGAATTTGTTGAGTTGCTCCACGAAGAACAACCGAACAAGCCTCTCCAAGTTTGACACCGGAGAATCGAAGAAGTCGATCCTCTCCGATCATGATTTCCTCAATCAGATCACAGTATCCAAATTGAGCTGTCTGAGGAGAGTCGAATGTAGAGACAATCTCTCCTCCAAGCACAAGAGCGAGTCTCTCGATTCCTTCGAAGTCAGCGTGCTCAATAGCCATAACCTTGGCGTCTGCGAAGAGTTGCTCTGGGTAGTTGTAGATAAGTTGACGGTTGATGAAGACATTACAGTTGTGACCAAGGATTTTGTCAACCTGCAGGGAAAATTCTTATTTTGAAAATCAAATTATACGAGTACGAACCTTCTCCTTCATCTTCAACTTTTCGGCAGCTTCAAGTTCAGCAACTTTAGTAACGCCATCAACACGAACCCTCGATCCAAAAACTTTCACCTTGTCAGTATCCATTGGAGTATTAGCGATGAGAATCTTAGCCTTTTCGACTCTTCTTGGTTGGAACATGCCTGGAAGTTTCTCGAGAAGGAATCCTTCGTCAAGATAGGATTCATTCATGGATCCACCAAGCTTCTTGATGATTTGAATAGCATCCAAATTTCCAGATCCCTTCAATCTCAGTACTGCGTCCACGGCAAGTTGAGCAAAGTGTTCTTTGTGTTGACTGAGAATCTTTGATCCAAGAGTGGTGCGAGCAATTTTCAAAAGGTCCTCCCGGATGTTGTCTCCCGACTCGATGCTCGATTGCTTTAATGCTTCTTGGGCGATTCCGAGAGCACGTCTGTATCCAGAAATGATAGTTTGTGGATGGATACGTTGATTAACGAGTTTCTCAGCCTCCTTGAGCAGCTCGGCAGCCAAAACAGTCACGGATGTTGTTCCGTCTCCGACTTCATGATCTTGAGTCATTGACATATCTGAAAATATTGAATAACTTGAGCAACAATTCGCGAAACTCACCAACAAGAACTTTAGCAGCTGGGTTATCGACTCCGATGGATTTAAGAATCGTTGCTCCGTCATTGGTGACTTTGATTCCTCCGGCACTTTCCGGATTTCCGCTGATAAGAATTTTGTCCTGGAAACAAGAATGTGAAAATAAGCTGGTAAAAAAACTGTCTCACCATTCCTTTTGGCCCAAGTGTAGATTTAACCAAGTCTCCGATAGCAATTGCACCAACGAAAGAGCTGAGACGAGCGCTCTCTCCACGCTCTTCCTGAGCACTGTCTTTCAAGATTTGTACTGGGAGCATCTTGCTATAAAATAATGATAATTATTAAAAAAGAACTATCTAACAAAATGCACAAAATAAAGGAATGGAACTGGAATCGAAATAAGGGCCTAAACGAGATATCAGAACGATGATTTGAAGCAGCATACAAGTAGGAGATGAACATAACAATGATTCCGTCATTTTTAGCCAGAATTGTTAAGAAAAACCGGGAAAACAAAACATAAACTCCAGAAATGTCTCCAAATGAGAATGAAAAATTCTTCTCGAAAGTCCGAAATTTTGAAAGTGCGACAGCGCGCGTTTGCATTTCTGGCGCGGGCAGCTGGAGACCCCGCAAATTCCGGGGAAAAAAATCGGGGAAAAGTGGGCGGTGTCGGGGGGGGGGGGGGCGCAAAAATTTTTTTTCGAGTTTTGTTGATATTTTTTGATCAAACTGACAAACAATCCAAAAACACAAAAAATAATGGAGAAAATTGTATTGAGAGCTCAAAATTTGGCTCAAAATGACAAAATTTTTTCTACCGGGCCCGGGCCTTGAAAATTTCCCCAGGCCCGGGCTTTGGCGGGCCGGCCCGGAATTTTACAAGTATGGAAAAAAAAACTCCGGAGAAAAATGGGCGGAGCCTAAATTGCAACCCTGCCACGGTTTTGCCGCACGGTTTAGCACATTT